AAAGACTTCTGCTTGCTTTTATGAAAGACTTCGATTGTATGGATAAAGTTTTTAAAATTTATGTACTTTTCTATTATCTTATGTTGTGATATGCTAAGGGCTTGTATGAGACCCCTTCGGGATCAAGTACGCCGTGTTACTTCTAGGGTGTACCCCTGGGTCGTGACACCATGTTGGTGAAGTCTTTTATAGTTATTCCTTTATGATGTTAACTAGATTCAGATACTTGCTAAGACTATTGTTATTTTTGTCTTTAGATGCTAGTCTGGGACTCTGGGCATTTTATAAAGGTGAATTTTTATTTGTAAGTAAGTGCAGAATAGGGAAGTATAGGCTTACTATCTATTTATTGTCAATAGGCAATACTGTTGAGCACCCTTATTTTTGTAACGATCTGTTACTCCGTTTTGGGTACTAGAGTTTTTTATTCCATAAAAGATTCTTTCAGTAAATTCTAAATAGATATTTTAGACTTATGAAAAGTTATTTAATTGATGGGTAATATTAAATAATTAATATTTTATTGGTAGTTAATGAGCTAAATCTGAAATTTATTTAATACCTTATGTCACTTGGCCCACGTGTAAAAATTGAATTTAAGCTAAAAGGGATTTAATATTGGTAAATCATAAATTAACGAGGAAAAAAAATAACTTCCTAAAAAGAGGACCACACAGTGCGACGACAACCTAAGCAGCAATACGATTGCTTCAGAAAAGAAAAGAAAACAAAACGAATGTATTCTAATCTCAACTCAATTTGTAAGTATTTACCCAGTGACTTCAATTTTTAATATTATTATTTTGTTATCATATTATAAATTAAGTCTTGATATATTGAGATAGGTAATTAAATATTAGGTGTATTGTATTATTTGAATATCATAAAGTTATGATAATTGGAGGAATTGAGACTTACCCTTAGGTTTGAACTTTAGGAATTTGATTATAGATTTGGGTGAGTTATTGGATCTAGACTAGACATATAGTAATACAAGTGTCTATAGACTCGTTAACTTATGAATTATGCATACTTGATAGATTCGAAATGTTCTGAGGCATTGAATAAAGGAAAAGCATTGGTGAATTAGCTTGCTTGACTTCGATTCTTCAGTAGAGGTAGATTATGGTTTGTTCTATTGATAGCGAGACTCTTAATAGTGATTAATAGTCATTGAGTAATATTGTGAATTATTCTATGTACTTAATTGTTGTGGTTTTGATGATTATTATGTTGTTGTGATTGATCTGTAATCTCAAGACCGCAAAATTCATAATCTTGAACTTGCTCCATCACAGTGATGTCTTCAATAAAGAAGTCTTGATGAAATATTGTTAATGAAGTGGAAAGTAATAATAACGAATGATAAATTAACTATATTTTATTTGATCGGGTGCCACGAACCGGCATGATATATTTGGATTAGGTGCCATGAGCCGACATGATATTATGGAATCGAGTGTCACGTTCTGACACGATAACATTAAAGGAAAATATATTAAAATAACTTAATATACTAAATCTCAAAGAACTCATTTTCCAAAAGAGCATAGCATAGAGGCCTGAGTCCTCACGACGTTCCTTATATTGTTGACTAATTACATACTTGTTTCATTACTAATGTCACTTGTTCATATTGTTTATTGTTTGCAACCTGCTAAGTGTTATATTTGATTTTATGTTATTACTTTATGCATATTAGTTTCTATTTTGAATCGGTCGATGATATCTACTCAGATATGTTGCCTTGTACTGACCCCTACTTGTATTTTACTTCGTTTTCCTTTTGTGGAGTGCAACAAGTACAAGCAACTTCGACTCACCCTCAACTCTTGTCAGTCTCAAACATATCAGATTCTAGGGTGAGTTACTCCTTCTAGCTTGTGTAGGATTTCTCTCGGTCATGGCTTGATGTCGTTAGTTTTCGGACACAAGCTGTTTTATTTATCTATTAGGGTGTCTTATATTCTGAGACTTAGTATTGGAGGATTAGGTGACCATGGTGAGATGATTTTTAGATTTTCAAAAACGATATGTAATAAACTCTAGTTGATTTTATTTCTTACTTTAATAATTTTTCAGTTTCCACATTTTAATCGTATTTCATAAGTTGAATAGCTAATATAAAATGGGGTTTGCAATCGTTGGCTCGATGTAACACCTAATAAATTGGAATTTGAAATAGAAAATAGAAAATGCTTCAATTGAGTACAAATGCATGTGTACGGAAGGTTGTACAATCCGTACAGGGTGTCATGGACCGTACAACAAACTGTGGTGAAGGGTGAACTTGTGAAGAGGTCCATGACCCGTCTCCTAACCCGTGAAGTTGAACCCCAAAACTCCAGAAGGTTCACAGACACTTGGACGATCCGTGAAGCTTTGTACGGACCGTACCGTGAAAGGGACTTCATCAGCTTTTAAGTTTTGGTCTTTCCCATATGCATTTGGTACTTACACTACGTCATTTTAACTCATATTCTAAGCCTAAACTACGACATTTTACACCTAATTAAGGTCTTAGAAAATGTTAATCGATTCTTTTACGTTCATTAACACTTCAAGTCATTAGAGCAAGGTTCCAAGAGGAGAAAAGGTAGGGTTCGAGCGTTCTTCAAGTTTTATCAATTTCGCCAAGAACTTTATTTTTTCATGTATGTAAGACTATCATAGTATTGGACTAGTTCATCCTCACGCCCTACATCTACTTTTAAATAAGTAAAAGAGTAATCTAGGGTTCTATCCTTAGATTTAAGTATGCTTAAGATGAGTTGATATTGAGTTCTGAGTTCGTGAGTTGTTGATTATTGAATTCTTATGTCTAATTATTGAATTATCGTAAATTGTATATTGTGATTATTGAATGGATTATTCATGTCTATTTTTCAGCATGAACCTTATTTCTTAGTATTCATTGAATTCTTATTAAGAGTCTATTAAGCAAAACATTATTGTTTAAACTGAGTTTTGAGGAAGTAAAGAGGAGTTTGAGAAAGAGTATTACCAGAACTAAGTATTTTCCAAATGTTTCATTTTTACATGAAGAAAAAGAGTAGACTTTTTTTTAGAAGAGTTAAAAGAGTTTTCACAAAGATTAAGTACAGAGTTATAACCTCTTAAAGAGACCCCTTTTGAGTAATTATCTCAATCCATAATGTATTTTTACATTGAGCAAAGAGAAATTTTGTTTTTAAATGAGCAATGAATCTGAGATATTTCAGTGCAGTTACCAGTTTAAAAGGATAGTTTGAGAAATTATCTCAAACCAGAGAAAGAGTATGCTTTTATACATTTGAGCAAGAATATACATTATTGGGAGTAGTATTGAGCATCGATATGGAGAAGAGTTTAGACAACTCACATCCCCCATAAACCATGTCTTGCCAACATGGGTACAAGATCTTATTTTTTAGATGAATCCTTAGTGCCTTCGGGGCCGAGCTTAGTGGATCCACTTAGTTGAGAGGTTCTATATCCCGGTACGATATAAGACAGTTTTGGCAGCATAGACAAGATGATATATCATCACGTAGCTCATAGTGATGGTTGTCGGTTAGAGAATCTCTCAATAGAGTTAAATTGTATTTTAAATATATCACTTATTATGTTGAAGTTCAGAGATGAGAAAGTATTTTGTAAAGCTAAATGATTATATTCCTTTAATTCTATACATTCATTTGAGTTTATGGTATATCTATTACAATCCTTTCATTTAGTTATTTTGCCTCAGCTATATTACATACTCGTACATTCAATGTATTGATGGCATTCGACCCGCATCTTTTATGATGCAGATACAAGTGTTCAGGATCATCAACATGTGTATCATTGAGATCACTTTGCGCTTCAGATAGCTTTGGTGAGCCTCATTGCTTTCCTGAGGATCTCACATTTATTTTCCAGTTATTGTTGAGTTGTTGTAGGTCTTGTCCCGACATCTATCCTAGTATTAGAGGCTTCATAGATAGTTAGAGTTGAGAAGTCTCTCAGTATTTCCCTTTTATTTTGAGATGTTTTATTTATAACATTGAGTACTTTCAATCATTGAGTTGGATCTATTTGAGATATATGAGTTAAACTCTGCATATAAAGCTTCTTTCTGCTTGAGTGAGTCTTCCGCTAAATAGTCAGTCAGGCCAAGAATTTACTTGGAGATTAGAAACGGTTCTCGAGTGCCGACCACGTCCAGGATGTAGGCTCGGAGCATGACATTCGTCCATCTAAAAGATTAAATGTGGGTGTCATGAACCATTTTGGATCGTGACAATTGTTCATACTCACTCTATATTTGCTACACCTTTTGTGTACATGTCCATCTATAGGTTCGTGTGGAGATTGAGCCATTGGACTTGAAGAGACTTGCCAGAGTTTAGAGTGAACTGCTTTGTTCGACAATTATAGATTCTAGTTTCTATTGTTTGTTAACTTTCCTGTTTTTCTTTCTAGCCAATTTCTAGTATTCAGACTTATATTTTGTCCTGACTCACTCTTGTATTTGTGTTACCAGTTATATGGGATTTTTCTAGTTATACAAAAAAAAAAAAAGGTTTTTTCATGAGTCTATACACTTAAGTAGTTAACTAATTTCTTCTTTAGAAAGGGTTGGATATTCAACATATATATCGAATAATATTTTTTAACTTTTGATTTTCGCCCACCTTGTTGTTACCATTTAAGTGGAAAAAAATTAATTTTTGATTGACCAAATATCTAAATTAATGAAAAGATATGTCTGAAAAAGTTCAATAAGCTATTAACAATAATGAGAAAAAAAAATCATAAAAATATACAAAAAGAAAAGATTAAATAGGATCTTCATAAAGATGTGGGGTAAATTTCTTACAAATAACTTTGCATAATATCAAGCTCCACTCTTACAAGATAAATAGAGGCAATATAACAATTATTTGCATCAACGTATAAAGTTGAACTCTTACAAATGACTTCCACAATTGCAATCATCAGAACTTTTGTTGACTTGTCTCCTTTTGTGTCCTTGATTAATTTTGTGAAAAAGGACAAACTAGGCTTTGAATGTAAAAATCAGTAAGAAGACCAAAATCAAATGTTCTAAGATCTACACATCCTATTGAATTATCATTTAAATTGTATATCATGTGATATGGTCTAAACATAACCAAAAATTCACCTCTTTTTGTCAAATAAAAGGATTGAGCAATAAAATATTCCACACGATCTAGAGTATAATTGATAGTAAACATCTTCATCCAAGATACTTTATTCTCATACTCCTTCATTACCCACACCTCTATGTTAGTTGTCGCATTACTACGAATCATGATAGAAAGATTACTTTCCAACACTCCCAGCACGAGAATATCATTTCCACATGGTCGCTCCACCTTTCTCCATTTCTCATCAGTCAAGTCAAAAGAGGTTATGCTCCAGACCCTTAAATCAAGATCATTAGTAGTAGCCCAATAAAGTTTTCCATTCAGAAACTTACCTGTATTCATTAATCTCCCCTCATTTCGAGGATAATCAATTCTTCTCCAAGAATCATTCTTTAGACTATACATAGCGACCTCATCAAAATTATATAACACCACCTTATAATCATCATGGATTTTATCATATCCAAAACCATATATGAAACGACTAAGAGGCCTCGGTTCAATTTTATGATCAGGCAATTTCTTGTACTTTCTTATAGTTGGGTTCCATAAATATATATTTTTTGCCCTATTTACAAGACATATCAATCCATTCACTGAACCCTCAAACAAAAAAGATATATAAAGATTTTTCATGAGATAATCCAAGTTTGATTCCTCTATATTCCTAAGGTGTATGTTATTATTAGCTGATAAACTCAAATGAGACTTGATAAACTCGGGGCTAGAGATCAAAGCAAGCCAAGATTTAGAAACACACCTAAATTTCAAGAGAGATTTCACTGGAACCCTCGAGAGGATTTCAATAATAATTTCAGTAGGCATAGAAGGGTTTGCGGGGTTGCTCCGATTTGAATCAGATACTAAATTCTCTCCATTGAATTTTCTTGCAAACAACATTTTACTCATAATTTGTGAAAATGTTAGAACTAGTAAATAAAAAAAGCAAATCAACATTTTTTCTACTTTTTTTAGATTGAAGTGAGAATGAGAAGAAAATCCTTCCTAGATTTATAATATCAGTTACATAAGGGTAAATGTGTCATTTGAAGTGAAGTGAAAATGAAGATATGTCTCTTGCTAGCATTAAAATTAGTGTGTATACAGTGAATTAATAAGTTATTTGCATTGAGCACCCTAAAATTCTTTGATGTTTACAATTTACACCCTTTTCTTTTAATGATTTTCACTTTAATTTAGTCATTTGAGCTGATAAAAATAAAAGCATATTAAAAAGAAAATGTTGGAGCTGATAAAGAAAGTGTAGGTGGATATATAAACTTATTAGGTACTTGTATGAGTGGAAGTATCAAATACCATGAATTATAATTTATAAAAAATTAACAAAACTGTTGACAGATAAAACACATATAAAGTTTAAGCCAAACTAGAAGTACAATTATAAAACTAAAGCACTCCAATTTTTCCTTATCAACAATATCCATGTCATGAAGTTCTTTTTATTTCTTTCAATAGTTACTATGTATGATGTCGATTTTAGATTATTTGTGTTGATTTGATATTAAATGACCTTTTAATATAATAATAATAATTTATATTTTTAAAAGCGAGATAAAAAAATATCAATTATAATATATAGATCAATAATGTAAAAGGTTAATACAAGGAAATATGTTCAATATTAAAACTTAAAAGGCCATGTAAATTGGGGAGTAATTTAAATGTACAACCCATCATGTAATATTAGGAAACTATTTTGACTCGAGCTCAAAAATTGAAGACTTACATATTATTACTAGTGTTATATCATATGAGTTTAAGATTTATACGACGTCCTTATAAATAATTTTTTACACCATTAAGTTATTCAAAAAAAAATAAAAAAATGCGTAAATATTCTTAAAATCTAAAATATTAAAATTTTACTAAGATACGTTACATGAACTACATAAATGCCAAAATATTAGTGCTTCTAATCTAACTTTTTGTATCAAAGACTTTTTCTTTATTTTGCCAGAAGAACAAGACAAAAAAGAAAAGAAACTGAAACAAAGACTTTATTTTGTAAGCCCAAGAACAGACAAATCACAAAAAAACAAAAAGAAAAAAACTATAATGTAAATGCAAAAACAAGAAAGTTGACTAGTAATTCAAGCCAAAAATTATAACCAAACACATTTTAAAACTTCACCCAATGTTTCACTGCTCACAATATTTTTAGAGTTATGTTTGGAAGGTAAACTGGCAGTAAAACAAGGATTGCTTTTCTTTCCCATTTGTACACTAAAACAAAACGTTTCCAATAGCATTCTCAATGGGGTTCTCTAATGTTACTCCTGCAAATACTAGGTTCTAATACATATAGATACAAAAAGTTTCAGTTGTTACAAAATTGTATCTGAAGCAACCTAAGCACGGCTCATGTATTGTCCATTTCTAGTATCAACCATAATCTCCTCCCCTCTATTTATGAATAATGGAACACTAACAATTGCACCAGTGTCGAGGGTTGCTGGCTTTGATCCACCTGCCACAAAATACAGATCATATTGACAACCAGATACTTATATTTGGCATCATAGTAGCTATACGTTAGGAAGAAGAGTGTCAAGAATATCAATAGTTGACACTGAGACAAACCAAAAGACATGGATAATTTATAATGCTATACCCCTATTAGAATCGAATCATAGGACATGAAGCGTATATGCCTCTGAAATCTCCTTCTAGGACTTCAAGTTCAATGGTTCAAGCTAGTAAACAGTAAATGATTACCTTGGGCAGTGTCACCTTTGACGCCTGGATCAACGTCCACCACTGTCAACTTTACTGTTATAGGCAATTCAAAGTCGATCACCTACAGAAATATTAACCTTAGTTTACTGATTACGAGTAAAAAATATATGAAAGAGATTGCTTCTACAAGACAAGATATAGGATCAATGTGAGAGACTGAGATTCCCAATTGACACTTATAAAGTAGCAAAACAGAAACTGCAAACACTTGAAATAAGTTCAGCATTGGAAAATACCTTCCCATTCCAGAAAAGCAAAGTGCAGTCCATGCCCTCTTTTAGAAACTTTGCTTTATCTCCAACATCTTTTTCATTTAGACGATATTCTTCATAAGAGGTCTGCAACGAAATTGCCCAAAGTTCCCATAGAATATACAGTGAGTATATAAGGGGGAACAGAAACAACCAAATTCTAGTTCATCCTTCCTAAAAGTGGGTAAGGACTAGGAGAATAGAAGGGAACTTGATCCACATTCCACACGAGCAATGTAACCAATTAAGACATTAGAGAGCCACATTAAACTTCTTCTTTTGTATTTTTATAGGTATTTTGCCCATATGCACCAAGAAGGTACAGATACTTACAGAAAAAAAGACTTTCAGATCCCTTTAACCATGAAGGGAGACCACCAAGTTAACAAAAGTATTTAAATCATTTTCCTGTTTCAGATTACACCAAACATACAAAAGAGAAAAACTTCTATTCTTAAGTATCTGTGAAATGCACAGATATACTTCTATTCTTAAGTATCTGCATGAACCATTTTAACCCGTCAGACTAGCTTTAGCTCAATTGGGATAAGAAAGGGCAGAGCTGACAACTTAAGGGACTTATGAGGTGCAACTATAGATCAGATATTTAGAACTTCACCAAAACCAAATAAATTAGCCGAACCTTGATGCCCACACTTGTACATGCTAAAGTGCCTTGAATTTGGGTCTAGTTTTATGTGCCAAAAGGGTAAGATGAAATACAAAATCTCCATAATACTATACAGGCTAAAGATTAATGAATATAAAAGTAGCATCTTACACTTCAAAGGCTAATAGTAGGAAAAAGAGAATTGCTGCTACAGTTAGGTATAATCCCTCAAGTAACCAAGTCCATCGACTAGATAATTGCTGCCAGGTTTATGCTAGTTCATTTTCTTTTTTTCTTTTTGGAAGTAAGGAGGGAGAAAGATAGCAGAGTGTCACTTCAACAGATTGGGATATGGGAGCTCTATAAAAGTAACTTGCATAAGCTTGCGCACTCTATTAAAAGTTACTGTACTTTACCAGATCCATGAAGACATACTGGGCACCATCCTTGTAGGTGAATTGCTTTGTCTCCTTGTAGATATTTGCCTCTTCTATCTGCAGAAATATTTGAATGTCAACTGAAATTTAAAATCACATGAGCAATGACAACTTGGTTGAGAAAAAGAACTGACGTCAAAGTTGCAGGTCCATTATCAATGTAATAGATCTGACAGTCTTTCAGTAGATTGTAATGTATTTTATGTTCTAAAACAGGAAGGAAAGGAACTTCCACACTGCCTTCGACAGACTTTCTATTGCCTGGTAAAAGTCGAACAACAAGATTAGTTATGGCATTCCTATTAAAAGGAGCTTACACCACAAAGTTAAGAATTCCTGCCTTTATTTTCTGTAGTATGGTTGTATAATTCATGATTTGATGCTACCATTTAGTCAGTCAACAAAAAAGAGAGAAGAGTATTAAGCCATATACACAATGTAAATATAACAATTATTTGAATTGTATAAATGAAGTTTCAGGGTGTACATCCTTGCTTTGTATCTTTCATTCTCAGTCCTAGAGTTTGTAGTAATCCCCACATTGAGAAAAGGTAAATGACACTTTCCACAATGTCATAAGTTGATTTCCACCTTGTAGGGCGGAAAGCAAACTAATAACCTCTCATGACTCATGATACATATCTTGCTTCAGTACCATTCTATAATTTTGCATAACCTGACTGTGGTTCTTAACTTCATGTGATTCACTTCTTTCATTCTATAGCATTCGATGCCCCTTGACAACAAAAGCAGGGGATTCATTTAATATTATTTCTTTAGTCAATTCATAATGTGCATTATTTTTTCTCCTCAGAATAACTAATCCATCTCCAACTTAATGAGCCACTTACTCGGACGAGAGATTACATGATGAGCAAGATATTTGCTCACCTTCCAGGAAAAAGCTATATGCTAATATGATGACTACAGCAGCTGCATTACTTTGTCAAAGTTCCTCTAGCAACCAGCATCAGCGCCAGAAATACTTATTTTCTCCTTCTCAAAAAGCCCTATGATCACCAACTTCATCACGACATTTAAAACTCAATTTGTCCCTGCTCATGCTATCATCAGCATCATCATGAACACATGCCAATGCCATTTGTTCACCACAAGCTCCAGAGCATCTCAACGACTGGTCAACTGGTTGTATATACTAGTTGTTTTTCTTATATACACCAAAAGTGAAAGCCTTAAAAGTAATATTCAGTATTCACAATCACAGTAGTCTCAACACAGCATCTTCACAGATTGGTCAGACACCAGTACCATCAGCCATGCCGTCAACATGAAACTTTCATCAATTCAAAATCCATCAACTTCCAGCCATTGTACATACAGAATCTCTCAAACATGTTCTTTCTCTCTGGTATGATATCTAATCAAGAAATTTTGAGTGTAGAAATAAATACTATGACATGTATTTTGACATCTAATCTATCAAGTAGACACCCTTCGGGAGATCGATGGTCCAACTCTTCACCACCAACTTCCAAAGATACTTAACTAAATAAGAACATCAATGAAAGAAAATTTGAATACTTGGCTGGAAATCCTTTCATCTTTCATTTGTATTAAAAGTTACTTAATACTTCTATAATTTCAGGTGTGACTACAATGATAATAAAAGGAAAATATAAAGTTTGACACTTTTCTTAAGAAATTCTCAGAAGAGTTAATACAAACAGGTTGCTAAAGATAACTGGATGGAACAATTTGTGGAGTTAAGTTAATATCTAGCCATAAGATAGCAATTCATCTGTTGCATCACTAAAGCTCAGAGATGGAACTGCTTACCTAACAAAAAATTTACCAAGATTCAGCTAACACTCAAAAGAAGACTCTTTATCACTTATAGAAGGTTTCTGGATAATTTCCGCAATCATCTTAACACTCAAAAGA